TTGGCCGCGCCGCCCGGGAACGGAGCGGGCTGTGAGCGGGGAGAGATTAGGCTGCTAGCAGCTAGGAAACCCTCCCTAGCGCCTTCCTACTGCATTGCTCGTAATGAAAAAGGGAGTGAAGTGGCGCTTGAGGAGCCAGTCCTTGTAGCCCAGAGAAGGGGGAAGTCCGATTGGAAGTGGAAGCACAGTCTGGCTTTACTATTCCGCGCTTGGATTATTGTTACATCGCATCTTCTAAATTCCAGTCCACTGAAACCAGCGCGTCTGTTGCGCCAAACTTTTAAAATCCTTAAATAACTATCCAACAGTCATTTTGAAAGCTTCCTCTCCTTTCTCTTCCTTTCCAGTTTTTGCCACACTGTTGAATCAAAGTTCTTGACTTTTGTTTTAGAGCTGTGGCTTATTATTGGTCCCCTGATAAACAGTCACAATTATTTCTCCTAGATACTCTTGGGAGCTAGGAGCTATTTCAACTTGTTTGAGGTTGAGGAGATTTTTAAATCCATTTGAGCTGATGATGGGATTGCAATTTTTACCCTCCTCCCTCCATATATAATTACAGTATGTTTCCGACATGTATATATTAAAACTATCCGATTACATGGTGACAATTTCTAAACATGGTACAATGAGGATCAAGTAATAGTGAATGCAGTTTACTGAGGCTGTGTTGGATTCATTCTTTGAGCTAATTTACAATTTCCTGTTACCCATACTGTGTGAAATAGAGATTTTAAATAGAGTTCTAAATTTGGGGGAGGCTGGATCTACTTTGGGCTTAAAATGTGATTTATTTATTTTTTATTAACCACTTTCAAGTTTTTTGTGGGTTTTCTTTTTTTTTAAATCAAACCCTGTGAGTTGTCCATTGGCTTTGGCAGCCCCTCTCTGAAGCCATAGCCCCCTTCATCTCTCACCTTCTGTGGGAGGGGAGAGCCCAGCTCCTCAGGGAGATTGGTTTGCAAGTGGTGAGAGTGCTGCTTTGTTTCTCTGTATCTTTTTGGCTCTTATCATGGTTTGCTTTCCTTGTCGTTACCCAGAAAGCCGACAACATGTGTGATGAGGATGAAACTACCGCGCTCGTATGCGACAATGGCTCTGGCCTGGTGAAAGCTGGCTTCGCAGGGGATGATGCTCCCAGGGCCGTGTTCCCTTCCATCGTGGGCCGCCCTCGCCATCAGGTACAATGCTCTGTCCTCTAGCCCTTCCGTGACTGTAGCTTCACAGAGGTAGCACTTAAAAAACATTCTCTGGGGGACTCCTTGCTATCTGGGGAAAGTCCCTAATCACTTGGGAGTGGCTGACCCCCACCTCCATAATGGGACTGAGTAAATTATATACTAGCTATGCTACAATTGCCTGCTGTCACACCAGCTGTGTCCCCTTCCTCCCATAATGACACTGGCGTAAAAGCCATCTGAGCCCTGTGAGTGTGCTCTTTGCTCCATGCAAGCACACCTGGATTGCAACAGCTGCTCTTACAGTGGGATGGATTTGCCCTACCTGTGCCCTGGGAGCTTGCTCCTCTTCTGTCCTGAGCTGGCTGTTGCTCCCCAGCCTTTCTCATTCCTGCCTTGGAGAGATGTTAAATCTCTTGTCCCCTTTGTATTCTTCTCTAGGGTGTCATGGTGGGTATGGGTCAGAAAGACTCCTATGTGGGGGATGAAGCTCAGAGCAAGAGAGGTATCCTGACCCTGAAGTACCCCATTGAACATGGCATCATCACCAACTGGGATGACATGGAGAAGATCTGGCACCACACCTTCTACAATGAGCTGCGTGTGGCCCCTGAGGAGCACCCCACCCTGCTCACTGAGGCCCCCCTCAACCCTAAGGCCAACCGTGAAAAGATGACTCAGATCATGTTTGAGACCTTCAACGTGCCTGCCATGTACGTGGCCATCCAGGCTGTGCTGTCCCTGTATGCCTCTGGCCGTACCACTGGTGAGTGAGGGTAATAGGTCTCCTCAGAGCCCCTAACAGCACCTTGTGTGAATGACCATTTCTCCAGCTGTGCTGTGTGTCCACCTAGGCAGGCACTCACTCTCCCACCCCCTCCTAGGTATTGTGCTGGACTCTGGTGATGGTGTCACACACAACGTGCCCATCTATGAGGGGTATGCTCTGCCACATGCCATCATGCGCTTGGACCTGGCTGGTCGGGACCTCACTGACTACCTGATGAAGATCCTGACAGAGCGTGGCTACTCTTTCGTCACCACTGGTAAGTGGAACCCACCCGTCCACCTTCTCCACTGATCAGCAGCACACAGTGGTCACTGTCCCGCCTGACTAACATCCATGGGGCTGGCCAAACCCTACAGACATGCACTCCTTTGTGACCAGTGACACCTTGTCACTACCTAGTGCAATGGGCACTAATTATCACTTAATTGTCTTGTGCTTAATACACCCAGCCTGAGCCTGGCAGACCTGATGGGCGTTTGCTCAGGCTGGTCCTGTTTGACAGATTTAATCTAAAGCCCCGGGATCTGTTTCTGTTCTATGTTGAAATTCAAGGACTGTGGTTTGTTCCCCCCGTTCAGATTGACTGACTCCACATGCTGTCCCCCAGGGCCAGAAAACACACACACACCCTCTTTTAGAGTTACCCTGAACCTCTGATTGTGCTGCTGTGTGCCTTGTTCTTCTGCTGCAGCCTTCTAAAGCCTTGTTTTCCCCTGTAACAGCTGAGCGTGAGATTGTGCGCGACATCAAGGAGAAGCTGTGCTATGTGGCTCTGGACTTCGAGAATGAGATGGCAACTGCAGCTTCTTCCTCCTCCCTGGAAAAGAGCTATGAATTGCCTGATGGGCAGGTCATCACTATTGGCAATGAACGTTTCCGTTGCCCAGAGACCCTCTTCCAGCCATCCTTCATTGGTATATAACCCTCTCTTTCCCCAGAGAAATCCTCCCCTTCAGTGTGAATTCCCCAGTACTTACCTCTGCATTCCTTACCTTCTCTTGTCCCCAGGTATGGAATCTGCTGGTATTCATGAGACAACTTACAACAGCATCATGAAGTGTGATATTGATATCAGGAAGGACCTGTATGCTAACAATGTCATGTCTGGTGGTACCACCATGTACCCTGGTATTGCTGACCGCATGCAGAAGGAGATCACAGCTCTGGCTCCAAGCACCATGAAGATCAAGGTACATTTGACTATGGATTATTGACTCTTACAGTTGAATGAGAGAGAACCCTAAGCACTTTGCAGACTATCAGTTTGAATGTGAGTGCATCTGACCCTCCCTCTTTGGCAAATGCTGTTCTACCTCACTTTGTCCTACTGAAAGTGTAGTAATTCATAAAATGTTTCCCCTGTTTTCTGTGACCATGTGTGGTCTGTTTACTGATCAGAGCTCTGCTTACTCTTGTAGATCATTGCACCACCTGAGCGTAAGTACTCTGTCTGGATTGGTGGCTCTATCCTGGCTTCCCTGTCTACCTTCCAGCAGATGTGGATCACAAAACAGGAATACGATGAAGCTGGCCCATCCATTGTCCACCGTAAATGCTTCTAAGTATGTTTACTTGATCACTATGTTAACAACTCTCAGGATGACACTGTTGTAAGTTGCAGGTCATTGGATACCTGCAACAGCCATGTAACTTTCTATTTTGTAACAATTTCTGTTACTGTTGCTGCAAGCTCCACGTGACACAGAGTGTATGTAAAGTGTACATAAATTAATTTATTTTACCTTGTTTTGTTTATTTTTAAAACCATGCCCTGTGGAAGGAAACCAAACACTTCAAGAAGCATTAAATCATCAGTCATTCTGTCACGCCCCATTGGAGTTGTCTGTCATGATTTATTTTGGAAATCTTTATACACGTTTATCCTGTTCTTTTACAACTGGTCATACAATTGTAGGAGGAAAAAGGGTTATGACACTTTAAATAACCCTAGATCATTATTATGCCAGTTACTTTACACAGTAGCAATGCTACATTTTTAAACAAACACACTGTATTATGTTTCCAGAGTGATTCATGCTCAGGTTTCAAAATATATTTAGAAAGGTCTTGGTGCACATCTTTCAATTCAAATATGAACGTGCTTTCTCTGGAAAAATAATTCCTTTTCTTTATTTAAATAAATAAATTTACACATGACCTTCCTACTCTGTACAGTTATGCTTACTGGAAGTTGAGGAGATGGAGTACAGTATTTCCTTTTGTAAAATTTGTTAAGAGATTACAGCCTGGCTGTAAAAAACATGATCACAGCATAACATGCTATTTCTTAGCCTATGTTTCTAACTTTTCAGAAGCTGTTGGGTTTCTTAAACTCAGCCAAACAAAACTGTTTTTCAATGAGCTGCTGTCTTCATTTGGCCTAACACCAAAGCTCCATTTCACTACTAGATAAATAAATGATCCTATGCAATACACTTGTTTCAAATACCTCATTGGAGCAGAATGTAAATAGTAACTTTTGTATAGCGTGTTTTTTAGTGTAACGGAGAGGAGAGGGTTTGCCAGTAGTTGAATCACTGAGCTAGAATAGATACAACTTAGCTGAGCCCTTCATTCTTATTTGGCCATTCTGTGGCGGACCTGAAACACAGCATCAACTAAATGCCCACTGGTGGACAGTGTGTGCATGACTTAAACATGGACCATTCCATGCCAGTGTACAGAGACAAATATCAACTACAATCCCTGTTGGCAGACTTCAGTGCCCAGGTGTCCAGGAAGAATGTCCTCATAAGTTAGGCTAGGGCCCTTTATTGCTTGAGGGCGACCCTCTTTGGGAGTGGGGTTAGAAGCTTACTATTGTGCTTCATGTTTAAAGGTTACAGACTTAGTGAATCTGGCTACCCTTATTTAGCTGTCAGTAAACAATGAAGATGGAGCCATAAAATCTAACTTAACCCCAACTACAGCTACAATTAAGAGGCCTGGGAATAAGCCAAAGCTAGCTGGCTCCCTCCCCCCCCCCCCCCTTTTTTTAAGTCATAGTATTTCTTCCCAGAGTGGAAGATGGCTCTTTGATTGGAAGATGGGATTCAGCTGCTCTTATTAATTCAGCTGCACCAAGTGTCCCAGCTCTTTGCCCTCTGCCCAGGAACACCTGGCCATTCATTCTTCAGCTGCTCTACTCATATGGCAATGTAACTGGGGGTAGCAAAGTGCCCTCAGTCCACTAATGGCCCAAACTTGAGCCAGTATCCCTTCTTCACCTTTCTGGTGGGAAAACTGAGTTGGGGGTTGTTGTGAGGAAGCCCTCTAGAGGATATATAGCAGTAATGGATCCGCCTTTACCTGGAGTTGGTAGGATGGAAAATGGTAAGTGATAAAACAACTGTTTGGGCAGAGTATCACCCGAAGGGAGACAAGCTGGTAACTCTGTGCCCTTAGCTCCTCCTTCATGCCCTTGAATGACTGAAATGTGTTCCTTGGAGAACTGTGGCATGCTTCCTTTAGACCACAATGAAGCTCTAAGAGCCTTTGATCATGATCCCATTGAGATAACTGTTTGCATAGTATATTCAAAGATATCAACACTCTAAAATTTTGCATGAGTTTAGATAAGGGTTTTTAGAGCCATAAGGTATGGGTGTGAGTGTAAATTATTGTTCTGACTAAATGATTATCACAAAGGGCTATACACATTGCATAGGACTCGATCTTACAAACTTATTCATGTGGTTGAGTGACTTGAGGACAAGATCCCTTAGTTCTTCAAAGTATATACATTATTTGTAAGGAATGACTCTGTAAATGTAATGTTCTCTTGGCAACAAGAAGTTTTAAATTGGCTACCGTTGTAGATTTCAAAACGTTTATGGGCTTTGATAACAGATGTTAGCATAATGTATGTAATATGAAATATTCATGATCTTTAAGCCTGTAGAATGTGTTACTTTTTCATGATGTCTGTAAAGTGTACAACAATGTTAAGGCATGAGAGAGGTCTGGTCTGTTAGCCAAATGTTTTGGAAACCTTCACATTCATCTTAGCTCTTTGGGCAGCTTTTCTACAACAGCTACCTCTCTGAAACTTGTCCTAACCTCATATACTGTATACAGCTAGTTAAGGTAAAATGTCACTATAATTCTTGGTTAGTAGCCCTCTTCTCAGAGGGTTGCATTTCTAGTTTGCATCCATCTTAAAAACAACAACTGCCACCCTCCCAAAACATAACCTAGAAAAGCTTTTATACTGCTATTTTGCTAAGAGCTGGTAACCATTCTGGTAACTGCAGAGAATGAAATCTGAGAGAGACCAATCGGTAATTCCCCTGCAGAGCTTTCCCACTGAACTGAAGGCCTTAGAGCCTACACCTTATTTTCCATTTTAAAACTGTTTTCTGGTACCCCTTAACATTCTGTATTAAAAGCTGGAATAAATGCTCACATATTGTAGGATAAGCCTGTGATACGTGCTCTAGACCAACAGGAATTAGCAGTGAGAGTCACCCACTTTAAGATTCTATGGGAACTAGGTGCTGAGGTGAATTTTGCACTTAGTTCAAGATTTTGTCAATAGGTTTAAAATAATTTTAAAAACTTATAGAATAGCAGCTTCTCCACATGCTGGGACAAATGCTGCTGTCAGAGCTATGCATGCAGACAAGACTTTCCAAAGTGGGCATCTAAAGTCAGGCTTCTAAATCTATTTTCATTAAATACATATGATTAAGAGGCCTGATTTTTTTTTTTAAATGGGTACAAGCACCTGCCATTTTGACTGAAGTCAATGGGAGCTAATGCTTAGCACCACTAAAATTCAGGTGACTAATTCAGGTGCCTAACTTTGGTGTCAAGAGCCTAATTTTAGGCACCTATGTGTGACTGTTACTAATTTCACTGGGATGAGTGCACTCTTCTCTGCAGGCAGAATTTGTCTCAGTGACTTGCTTGTTCTGAAGAAGCTCATGATACCATCTACATGTTTTGTTAGCCTTTAAGGTGCTACTAGACTATTTGTTGATTTTTTTAAGTTTTTCCTGTCACAGACTAACTTGGCTATCCCTCTGAAGTTCTCTTATTACTGTCAGTGAATGAGAGATGTTCCATGTCTTGGTGAAATCCTAATAAGTCTGTTGACATCTCATCCTCATGCTGAATTTTGCTTTTCAGGACAGTATTCCGCATACACGTGGGCATTGTCCTGAAGAAGCCATGACAATAGAGCTTGTGTGCTGTTCTTAGAACAGATTCTCCCCTCCGGTAGCT